GTAACTACATAGCTACATACTAGGCAAAGAGGATATCACAGTAGTGACCTCCCCCCCACCCCCCTTCCCCCCCCAATGTATTCCGTGAGACTCGTCAAGTGACTATGGAACCCCAGAAGCTCAGTCACTCGTCAAAGAACTCGCCCGAGAAAGCCCAGTTTGATTTGGGTGCGCAGCTGCATGGGCCTCAACAACTTGGTAATGTTGATGTCTTCATGCATGGGCGCACCCTTGTGCTACGGGACCCTCCCCCAACGCTGTCTCATAGAGATGGTGGTCGAGAGGGTTGGGGAGAGGAAGAAGAGAAGAGAAGGAAGGGGGGTGGGGGGCCTTTTATATTGTCACGTCTCACGTACCTTCCCCAAATGGACGCGCATGGTGTTGGCCAGGCTGCCTCAGGCTTCCTTGATAAGTATCACTCTGTCTCTTACATACACGTACATAACACCCGTGGGCCATATAAGATTGTTTGGCTTTTATTTCGTCGCATAGATAACAGAGATATGAAAAAGTTGTACGCCTCCAAGGCAATGTAGCCCATGTACCCAAGTGGAATCAGATTCAAGCAAGTAGTATTAACATTAAATTTCAATGAGTGATTGTCTAAAGCAGACTACATCCACCCCTCATCGCCCGCTCAGTTCTTCAACTCCCTCATATTCGGAGATAGCACACTCTCCAACCACTTGTAAGCCACAGGCAGACTGTCAGGGTATCCCATGTGCACCCGGTTCTCGAAGAGCCGATTTTCCTTAGGACCTCCATGCTTAAGAGGCTCGATACAGTCTTCAATCGGGACAACACCGTCATCAACGCCCTAGAAACCATCAGCTTTCTTTTCTTTTCTCGACAGAACCGATCGGGAATACATACGTTGAGCATAAGCAATCGGCAGTTATCCTGGTCAAGAACACCGGTCTCCACGAGCGAGAACTTCTTCTGAGCGTTCTTCACAAACTCCTCCTCACTGTCATACCCATACTTCTCCGCCATAGCGGAAGTAAGACTATCACCATGGTTAGTACTCCACCAAAGCAAAAACCCAGTCACAACTCACTTGAAAGGATACTCATGATCATTCGCCCTAGCCAACCACTCAGGACTAAAAACAAAGTGCGATCCAGGTCCATGAGCAACAGCACCCGCAAGACGCGCACGGTGCGTACAAGACGCCCGGATAGCATAGAAACCACCAGCACTAAGTCCCCAAGCCGCGACACGCGACATGTCAAACTCCGGCCGGCGATCCATGTAATCGAACACACTGTTCCAGAGCCTATCAGGCGACTCAGGGTCTGCCGGGTCGGCAGGCGAGTCCGCGGTACCAGGAATCTCAACAATAACAGTCGCCCAGCCACGATTAACGATCTCGTGGGAACGCTGGCTGTTATCGGGCCTGTAGCCGTCCAGCCCGGTCATGAGAAGCACGACAGGGACGCGGTTGATAGCGCTCGCTTCCTCCGGCAGGCGAATGTACAGCGGGATTTCGGCGCCGTCACGGCCGGCGCGGTGCGTGTGCGGAATCACTTCCTCCGTGATGATGGGGTTCCATAGCGAGGCGGCTTTCAGGTACACTTGCTTCTGGCGATCGAAGGCGGCGCGCTTGATGGAGGTCTCTGGGCGTGTTGATGGGCTTACGTAGGGGAAGCGTGAGATGCGGAGGATGACTGCTGCGCGGCGGTAGAGGTCCGCAGCGCGGGAGAGATCGCCGTTGTTGAGGGCTTTCGCGGCTTGGTTCTCTAGTGCTGTTGCGGTTGGGAGGAAAGCTTCGGTGTAGGCCTCGGTGTTTGCGTCGTTGATGTTTTCCTGTTGTTGTTAGTCGTGTTGGGATGTATGGATTGTGTTTGGAGATGCTTACAGCGATTAGTTTTTCGAAAATGGGCTCAAAGTCTTCCAGAGATCCATCGTGGAATGGGTAGATGGATTTCGAGGCCTGGTCAATTATGTTAGTTTTCTGGACCTTTTGCTCTTTTTGGGAAGGCCCGTACGCAGAATTTCCACTTTGACTCCCACAGGACCTTGATCGAGCCCTGGTGAGGGTAGACAGTGTCGAACTTATCTCCGAGAATCCAGTTCACCATATTGAGAGGAATATAGATGAAATAGATTGATGGGGTTGATGGGTTTGATGGGTTTGATATTGGCTAGCACGGCCTTTTTTTAATGAACTACAAATTCAAGGCATCTTGTGATCTCTTATTTGGGTTGCCATTGCTTGTATTTGCTGGTAACAGCTATTACGAAAGCAAAGTCAAGGCAGGATGATGTCGATTCAGATGCAAACAGTAGGTGACTATTGCCACAAGCCCTAGATGAGACTGAATCGGCAAAGATCTACTCCGTACCGACGGTTATCTCCGTAGGGCATGGGGTTGCTTCGAATATTTCCGGATGCGGGGGGATGGACAGCCAAGATGGCGAGGGAAAGGGCCGCAGATCGGATTCTCGGATGTCTCATTCCTCAATCATACCCTCGATTTCTCTTGGCGGCTTCTTGTGGCCCTTTCTGGTGTCGACTTCCTCATTGCCTAGCCTCATCCTATGTAGGTAGTTGAAAGGGCCAGGTCTGAAATAGACTTTTATACGGAATAATCAAATGGTAGAATAATAACAAGAAGTGTCCTTCATTCTGATTCTATGGGAAGCAACATTAATACCAAGATTTAAACAAGGACAACATATAATTTAAATAATAATCGGCCCTGGTTCTATACATAGCTCCCTCAGTCCCCTCCAATAACCTCAAATACAAAAATATCCAACACCTCTAACCCAATTAGATGTCAATTAGATGTTAGCTCCACCGTTGCAAGGCAGAATTTGACCTGCAGGCAATGAAATTAGCAATATTCCCAAGGGTAAATCCAACATTCCAGAACTCACCGTTGATCCATTCTCCAGCAGGACTAGCCAAGAATGCTACAATGCGGCCAATATCCGCAGGCACACCACAGCGCCCAAGGGGGCTTCCATTAGCAAGTGCCTGCTCGATCTCCTCAATAGACGAGTTCTGGTCACAGCCAGGCGCATAACGCCACGCGTTGCTCAACCACATATCACTCTTAACACCAGCAGGAGCAATCGCATTAACAGTAGCCCTCTTCTTGCCAAAGTCAGCAGCAAAGCAGCGAGTAAAACCCTCGACAGCGCTCTTGCTGCCCGCATACAGAGAGTGACCGGGAACACCTAGGCCCGCCGCAATGGACGACATCAGCACCACGCGTCCGCCGGGCTGGATGTGGTCGTAGGCGTTCTTCGCGACGAAGAACTGTGCCCGAGTGTTGAGGTCGAACACCGCGTTGAAGTCATCCAGCGTTGTCTCGGACAGCGGCACGAACTTCTCGGTTCCAGCGTTCGACACGACAATGTCTAGCTGTCCGAAGTGGGCGACGACCTGGCGGAAGAGGTTGGCGATTGAGTCGACGTTTGTCAGGTCGGCTTGGAATGCCGCGCCGTGGACGCCCTGCGCTTGGATCTCTTGTACCACTCCATCGGCGGTCTTAGAGCTGCTGGCGTAGTTGATAGCGACGCTTGCTCCCTTCTTCGCGAGCTCTAGAGCGATGCCAGCTCCGATGCCTCGGCCACCACCAGTCACTAAAGCGACTTTGCCAGCGAGCTCGAGCTGGGAAGCGTTAGGGTTCTGGACAACCATTTTGGTGGGTTTGATGTTGATGTTTGTGAGGTGTGAAGGGTTGTAAATGGGTGGATGTAGAATCACGCTGGGAGTGGGAATCGTAGTCTAATATTGAATTTGGTATTTTGAATAGTAACACCAGGATCCTGGCTGGAACCAGTTAAATGGCTTGGCTCAATTATTCATCCCTATTGCAGAGGCTGGGCTTTGTTTCCGAATCTGTCGGTGGCAATGGGAGTCATAGAGACCTAAGGCCAAGATCGGGTCCTAAAACAGAGTAGCTGCTTGCGAATAGGGAGTCACAAGTATCTTGGCTTTACCTTGTACCGCATGCGGAAGGCCATGAGTGAATTTCTCCACCACCTGTCACATCAGACGCTCCCGGTTGCATTGTTGTGTTCCCGTGCATCGGAAATATGCTGGCTAGATCCGAGGAATGTTGCTTTCAAAACTTCGAGGAGTTTCGAAGAGTTTTCTGGAAGTGTACTTCGGATTCACTCACACGGCGCGCCTCATATCTGTAACTAGAGCTCAAATTACCCACAGAAAGAAAACATCGCTGGATAACTATGTCTCCTGCTGTAGTGAACAACACCGCTGAGCCCAACTTGGACATTAGCTTCCAAGGTCTGTTTCAATCCACTGCCATTCACCTGCTTGTATTAACATCAGCAGACTACCTCATCCTCTCGAAGCTCGTTTTCGACTGGGCGGACAGTTATGATGCAAAGGTAGGCATTGTATGACATTCAACGTCAATTTAACATTAGGACTGACAATGTTCCAGGATTGGGACCGTCTGCGCAGCATCATTGCCCCAACCCTGAAGGTCGACTACACTGAGGTCGGCCTGAAAAAATGGGACAATATGGCCGCTGAGGAGTACATGGCCATGATCACCCACCCCGGCTTCCTGGGTGACAAAAAAATCAAGACCCAGCATCTTCTTGGCCAGACATGGTGGGAGAAGATATCCGACACTGAGGTTATTGGCCACCATCAGCTGCGCGCGGCGCACCAGGTCTACGAGACTGAAGAATTGAAGACTGTCAAGCTGCGTGGTCACGGTCATGCTACGAATGAACACTACTACCGTAAGGTCAATGGGGTCTGGAAATTCGCTGGGTTGAAGCCAACTGTGCGCTGGAATGAGTTACGCTTTGATGAGGTTTTCAAGGGTCTTGACTAGATGACAATTCGTTTTTGTGGAGAGAAATTTGTGCAGTTTTAACTAGAATCAGAATTTATTTTACTTGTTTTCCATCGTTTATGAAATGTGTACTGCAGTATGGTATAGCAAGAATTTAATGGGTCATATTTAGCTACTGCAAGGTCTTAGTGTCAGCAAGAATAGCAATATCCACACTTAGACTTCACAGTCTGAAACAGACAAATCACAGTGATCATACGTGTCATCTTCGTTGACTGGTGGATATGCCTTTCTCTCAGCCAGTCCAGCCTTTCTCTCAGCCAGTCCAGCCTTGCTCTGCTCATCCTGTTCTGCTTCAGGAGCCTCTGGCAGTTGCTCAATGGCACATTTCACTAGTGAAGTCAGATACTCATCATCCGGATGTTGTCGACAAATCTCTTGGAAAACGTCGATATAGTCAGGACGGTTGCTATCTTGGGCCTCATACTGATTATTGGCGAGGATATACACCGCATTGATAGCGGCTGCAGTAGCTTGGAGTATCTTCGCTCTGTCATCTTTGGTATATGCGTTGGAAGGGCTGCAGCTCATCAAGAACTTCGCAACTGGATATGCTGTGCCTAACAGCATCCAGAAGGCGATATTTTGTTCAACAGACTGGGTCAACTTGCGTAGATCATGAAACAAATGCATTTTGAGAATCTCGGCTTCGGTAGCAAGCGAGACTTCGGTCAATGGCATCGTATTTCTCGCCCAGTTAATCAAGCCAAGGACATATTGGCCCGCAGGCATGTTTGCTAACGAAGCAATATTCTCCAAATCATACTTGGTATCTTTACCAACTAGGCTTTCTGTGTGATTGTTTTGCGCTGATGGATTTTTCGAAGTGTACAGTTCCCCTGTGATGTTGGTCGGTTCGTTGATTGCTGTCGACGAAGAAGCCTCTCCGTAGCCATGTTGATCGGGAACTTTAATATTGGAGCTCGTAGATACCATTGGAGACGGGGTTAGTGATTTCACACTTCGTTCATAAACTGTAACCCAAAAGGTCGTGCGATTAACCCTGCACTAATAGTGTGACGGTCTTTGAATATAGTCAGCCTTGAACATGCAACACATTCTCCGGGGACATACCCATCTGACACTCATGGCGCTCTGGGCAATTCCCACTCGACCTCAGTGAATTCGCACCAGCCGGTTGGCGCAAAGAGCCGGTTTGACTTGGGTCTTTGAAACACTCGGACGCAAAACGGGGCATTGAGTCTTAGATTGTCGTCTTTCATTGCCAATCTCTTGCTTTTCGCTTTTGTCCAGTAGACGAAGAGTTCGAGTCGGTAGTCTTCATCTTCGAAACTTGCAGACCGGATCTTATCAAAATAAAATACCTGTGGAGCCATTGTTTTGAGTGGAGATGAGAGTGGATCTGACGAGCTGGAGAAATGTGGAGAATAATACTGGTAGTCCAGGTACTGTTGATCGGTTGGGCTGATCATAATGTGACCATTGCTCGCTGTATACTTTTAGAAAACTCAAGATTCAAGTTTGGTTTGGGGGATAAGGGTCCAAGGTAGACTTAACCTTCTATATATCAATTTGTAAGCCACTACATAGAGTGAAAAACAGTCTTATGGGTGATGTATAGATATTCATCGCAGGTGTTGACGTGTTGATAGAGGGGAAATAGGCAAGAGCACTGCCTACAAGCAAAAAGACCCATGTATTGCTAACTAAAATAAATTCTATGAATAAGCAAAACCCCGAAGTTTCAATCACAAGTACCGGCTGGAATGATGCAATAGATCGGCAAAGTGTGATTTTTGGGAGAGCAAGACATCGGGGCTGTCAAATTCGAGCAACTTGCCTTTGTCCAGAACAGCAATCTTGTCATAGCTCAAGATTGAATCTAGCCTATGAGCTATGGAAATAATGGTTTGTCTCTGAAAATTTTTGTCGATAATTTCGCGCATTTTGAGATCAGTTTCGTTGTCAACACTATGCCAGGTTAGTCCACGAACAAATAAGTGCAACAGGTGCCAACGAGCTGAACTTAAAGGTGGAAAGGAAAAACAGACTTGCTAGTAATCTCGTCAAGAATAATGATTTGAGCAGGATTCAACAGAAGGCGAGCTAGACAGAACAGTTGTTTCTGACCGGGAGAAAGAGCGAGCGTGCTGAGATCAGTATCTATGCCACCGTGCGCCTGGATAAATTCTCCCAGCCCTACCATTTCACAGGCGGATAGTAGTGCAGCATCGGTGTGAGATCTAGAAAGGTTGAGATTGAAACGAACAGTTCCCTTAATGAGCAAAGGATCCTGGGTGATGGTACTGATGCGTGAACGAATCTCCTCCGGGGGTACAGTTGCGAGATCAATGCCGTCGATCAGAATACGCCCACTGTGGGAATGCATGCCCCTGCAGAGAGAGAAGACCAAAGAACTCTTCCCACTAATTCAATATAGTTAGAAGAATGTTTTGACCATAGCATGACTGTTGAGATTTACATACCTTCCGGTTCGTCCACAAATCCCGACCTTTTGGCCGGATTTAATAGTCAAAGAGACGTTTTTAATGGTGATCGGGGAGTCGGCACTATGATTAGGTCAGTTTAGCAGATCTAATCATCATCATACAGACAGTTTCAACATACCCATGGGAAGCAACGAGGTTTTCAATCGCAATCTCGCCCCTTTCGGGCCACCTAGGAGGTAGATCTGCCACGGTATCGACTCCTGGCTCGGCAGGAGTGTTTTTCAGGAACTCACGCGTTCGAACCAAGGCCCCAAGCGACATTTCTACTTTCGTCCAGGCCTGTATCACGCTGACCAAATTATAGTTGAAAGTTGTGATATTTGTGATCGCTAGACCAACAGAGCCGGGAGACATCTTGCCATGCAATGCAACAGCGAAGACTGCCAGCATAACCGCAAGACCCATGACCAATAGATCTAGCACAAGATTCAACCATCTTTGAATTGTGTAGAGCATGTAGAATGCACGTTGAGAGGTGTCGAGGAGTCCTTCATGATGAGCACTAAATGCCTCCTGCCATTTGAAACATCGGATTGTGACAAGGCCACTCAATGTCTCCAAAAATTGGGTATAAAGAGGCGCTCGCAGCTCAATATCTATAATTCGAACCTGACGAGATGTGCGAAGGTATAGAGACTGTAGTAGATAGAGGGCTCCAATGCAAAATGGTATCATAGTCGCCATCCAGCGAGTGGAAGCGCAGACAATGATCAGTTGTATGACGGAAATGTTAAAAACTAGACATAATGAGTCACAAATAATTTGGAGGATGAGTATTCTTGGAGTTAAAATGGAAATAACTCACAGATCGTAGTGTTCAACGCAGCCATGGGAAGACCCATGTCGAAGAGTTGCATGTCTTCACTGAATCGATTCATCATGACACCTGTATCTGTTGAAGCAAAAAACGAGACCGGTGCACTAAAACCCATGTGAGATATATGATTACATCAGAGATCATTTTATGTCTTACCGCATCGTTTGCTGGAGAACAAGGAGATGAAGCTGAAGAGCAGACTTGGACACCATACGCACGATAAGTTGCCTTCGTAAGGTATTAGCATGCTGAAAACCTTTTCTATGGGGCATGCGTTTTGATGAACTCTTCTTACCAGCTGGCCACGGCTATAAGGCCCAAGGTAGTGGCTCCAAGAATCGAGTAAACCGTCAAGTACTTGACTGTGGTTGACTCTTTTGTTCCTGAATCTGCGCTAGACCACCAATCAAGCCAAAGGGCTAGCTCATGATCAGTTAAACTTGCAAGAAAAAAGAAGATAAAACTCCCCACGGGAGAGCTTACATGAGAAATTGTACGCAAAGGCCAGTACCACCGTAATTGCCAAGTACATAAGGCTGTTCCAATTGCCGCACACATTGGCGTAATACTTGTACAAAGTCCAATCACTACCATTCTGCCTGTCCTGGCTTGGAGTCGAGACGATTTGTTGGTTGGGTTGAATTTGGATGTCTGATACATCCCTGAAATTGGAAGACGGCTCTTTGCTCGTGCCTGAGCATTGTTCATTGGATTGGTGGTTCTCGATGGGGCCTTGATGATCAATGGTGCCATCGGAGTTCAAAGCCACCACTTTATCAAAAGAGGAAAGAAATGTCTCTAAATGATTGATAAATAAGTCTGTCATAAAATGGTTCAGCAGCGAAACGGAGAACATACGGTCATGAGTTACTAATAGACACGAGGAACCATCCTCTTTAAGCAAACCATGTGGACCGAAGACACGGTGGAAAACATTGGTTTTCGTGCGTTTATCGAGGCCGGAGAGAACATCGTCAATCAAGGCAAGATCAACTCTCTTCATAAGGGTCCGAGCTAGAGACTGTGCAGCTCGTCAGATAAGGGCACATGGAGCCTAAATTTACCCAAGACACAAGGGAACCCACGATGCGTTGCTTTTGACCATGACTGAGCTTCATGCCATTGCTTCCAACTAGAGTTTGCTCACCATCTGGCAAATTCATGAAATCTTCCTCCAGTTGGCAAGCTTTGATCACCTTCTTATATCTTTGGAGGCCAGAAACGTGATCACCAGCTATATTCTGCCTGATAGTGGCATTCATAAGCCAGGGGACTTGATCACAGTACGCAATCGAGCTTCCGTGACAGTCAATTAATCCCTGTGCTGATATAGTCTCCCCCAGAATACCTTTGAGTATGGTGGTTTTCCCACCAGCGACAGGGCCAGTGATTGCGACAGATTGCCCTGGTGAAACAGAGATGCACAAATCTCGGACCACAAAGCTGTCTTTTTTCCAACCTAAATTGGAGTTGCTCATGTGAAGGACGTACTCCTTCAAAGGTGCGGTGTTGACATTCAGAGTCTTCATTGGCTGAAGTTCACTTTTATCTGAGAAGGATCCTATTTGCGTTGAGTCGCTCGGGTCATTGGTCTTCTTTCGGGTCACCGCAAGGAAGATTTGAATTCGATCTAAACACCCAAGTGCACCGGCAATTCCAGGTGCAGTCTGCACGAGGAGATTAATGGGCTGTGAAAGAAGACTCAACATAGTCAACGAGGAGAAGGCTGTTGATGGAACGAGAGACCCTGTGCTCTTTGGAGCGACAAATATGATGAAGGTAATCACAGGTGCCAAAGTCATGGGCGTAAGTGCTATGAGACGAAAGTAAGGCTGCTGTTCCGCGAAAGGGTTCACTTTTGGTATAGAAAGGGCATACCAATTACAGTGATGCACACTAGTAAGGTACGCAGCTTGTGAGAGATGCACAGCTCTTTGATACGAAGGCCTTGGATGAACGCAGTAAAGAAGCCACTCAGTCCTAGGAACTTGACTTCACGCATTTGTCCCAGCATATCAGCGGTAGCGGCGAGTCGTACTTGTATGGCTGCATTCCAATCTTTCTGGTATAGGCTCAGTCGCCCAAAGAGCAATACACTGGCGAAAACACAAGCTAAGAAAAGCATTTAGTTTTCACAGTAAAAGTATTTCAAGCTCTCGTGAGGAATAAAGCGGATCATACCGAGTGACAAAACTAACGGGGCGGCCGCTCCCCACTGTACCTGCCGAGCCAGCAACCACATGATTACTCCAATCTGCGCAAACGAGGCCCAGACCTCGTGAAAGTCAACCAGACCAAGTACAATTGTGTCGCAGTCAGCGCTGATTAAGGTCAATGTCGAGGATGCATTCTCATTCGATCCGTGGGAAGCTAGGGCTCCCTCGTAAATGGCTGAAATTAGGGCCCCTCGAATCATGACTACCAATCTGTACATGGTGTGATAATAAACACCGGTACAGAGCTATACTGATGTCAGGAATTTCTATATGATAGAGAGAAATTGTGACAACGTACAGCAGTCCCTCCATATACCAGTAACACAGCTCCGATCAACCCCACCCCAGTAGCATCTCCCATCGGCAGGTGGGTTGCACTGACGTAGTCGATGAGCTTTTGAATTACTATAGGCTGGAAGATTGTAAAGACGAGGAGTCCAATCCGAGGAAGGACTCCTGCCAATAGTCTCCATTTGAATATTTTCAACAAACTCAAAGCTAGCTGGTTCGGCTTGCGGGGATCAACTATGCCATAAAGTTTTGTCAGTATTGAGGTTGACGACGGGTTCTTGGCTCACCTAGAGCTGGAGATTTACCGCGATGCCACTCGCGCTGGAATGCTTCGTGAAGATACCGCGACCGTAGGTTTCCGTCCAATTCAACCAGGTCCTCGACAGCGATTTCTCTTTTTGCCCCATGAATTATATATGGTAGTAACCACCCGAAGAATGATCGTTTGAGAATACCTGCTGATTCTTCGCTGTTGATGTCGCTGTACTTGTCCAGAATGATGTTGCGCTTCTCCCGTGCTTCCAAGACCACCCACGCCACTTTCAAGGCAAGACATACTGTGAAAAGTACGGCGATGGGCAAATGTAGATGCATTAACCATAGCGTACGATCCCGCGCGATGTCCAGCGTCACGACGAGCGGCAAGTATAGCGTGAGAATAGTTGAAGGGCGCACATTTTTGAGATGCTCGGCATGAGAGAGCAAGGCCAGGACAATAGTTGCCACCAGTTCGACTGTCGCGGCAGGAATCGTCACTCGGTCTCCATGTAGACGTTGGTATACCCAGACGATGAGGAGTGTTAGTTGGAAAAGGGCAAGCAAACAAATGGCTACCTTGTCAATGTCAGTGCTTTCCTACCCAAAGATGACCTGGGGTCCTGTGTCGACTTACTGCCTTGTACGCAAAGGAGGCCTGGTTCCCCACTTTCCGGGGACTGTTCCGCAGATTGAAAAGGCGTCCCAGGCCCAGAACAATGATCAGACTGCATGGCAAGATGGTGAGAATGGCATTTTCAAAGAGCAATGTAAAATCAAAGCCGCCCCGACAACTTGGTCGAACAATCGGGCCAAAAGAGTTATCGTTGCAGAGGGAGTCCATCGCACGTAACTCGTTCACCTGTTCCAGGTACCGAGTTGAGTTCCGACTCACTTTCCTGAGAGTGAGAGATGTGCTGAGGGCCGGGAGAGCAAGCTAAAGCTCAGAACCTCTCAGTCTGGAAGGTGGTACCACCCAGTATCTTTGCACCGGGGGATCACTTCTCCATCAACAGAAATGCAAATTTCGGAGCGATTAAGCCAGGCTTATCTATTGGAGGAATAAGGGCAGCTAGCATTTTGGCCCCTGGCAGATATTCAAGTAGATAGACGCTTCTTCTCCGAACGACACCTGACTAGTGGTCGGTTTGGTAACAATTAGGTAGACCTAGCAGTAACCCGCGGGTGACCCTGACGACCCTGACCCTGACCCTCTAAGGGTCGCTCGCGGGTGACCCTCCACGACCCGCAGCGACCCTCGGATATATAAATTTCGAGCGCTAAGCCTAATTAAGGTAGATAAAATTGCTTATACTATATCTTAATAAAATACAGTTATTTGTATAGAACTAGAACTCGACCTTTAAGTAATATAATATAGTAATTTAGTCGATATAAGTTTATAAAATACAACTGATATTAATAGAATTTTATATTATTCGCGAGATACGAAATCTTACTCTAATTACTATCCAAAGTTATACATAGAAAAGTCCATTTCACAAATTAAGCTTCTCTCCGCCTTTTTTCTACCGTTTATCAATACAACTGAGATGAGCAGCAAAATATATACAAAACAAGTTAGTAGAGTTACTATATATCTTAAATATATATTCTAGCTATAATAGGATAATTTAATAGATTTATAAACATGCTAACTAATTATAGGTGTACCTATAGGCCTTGGGCCCCTCCTAGGGGCCCATGGACGGGCGATGTCGTAGTCTAGGACTATCTTACAAGCGCCCGGTTGGGTAGGATGAAGAGCGAGGGCCCTTAGATCAGCCTGTAAGAGGGAGCCATTTCCGGCGTCGATTTCACAGGTCCTCACATTCTAGTTGTAAACGGCAGACCTGTAAATTGGCTTTTCTAGTCAGTTTTGCCTGTAGGATTGGCGCCAATACGCTGTCATGTAATCCCCATTCAATGCTCTCAACATAAAAGCCACGTCTTCGCCGTTTATCCTCCTCTCCAAATTCTCTATTCTTCCTCTCTATCTTGCACTCATCGCCGCCCCCCTGCAATTTCGCCCGCCCAATCGGATACCCCGTCTGTCCCACCCGCCACTTTCCCATTTCTTTTTTCCGTCGCAAACTGCGGCTGAGTCCTTATTGCCTACATCCTTATCTTGAAAAAAAGTACATGATTACATAGTATTTTGGGGATTTGATCGATTTGCCAGTCTTAGGTTTTCGGACATTCCCACGCATCCAACCAACCAACCTTGGAAGCCATTGCCCTTATCTAACATACACAATGGCGCTAACTCAATGACAGGGATTTATTATTACACAGTTCTCTCTTGATCCTTCGATCGCACCTCGTCCAAGAAAGCGTGCATCTCCACAGCGTCCTCAAAGCTAGCAAATTTCTCCACCTCATTATTCCAGAAAGCCTCATACAGACCGTAAAGATCAATCGATGCACCTTGAAGTTCAGACGGGAAGTGATCGGGCCGCACCACTGGTACATCTGTAATTGTATCCGTAGCCCATTCATGCACCCTGATTTTAACAGACTCGGGTATGAAAGCGATATAAGGTTGTGAACTCGTAATCTCGATCTCGCCCTTGGTACCGTAGATATACCAGCGCAGCCCCTGGTCCATAGTACCGCCCTGTCGGTATTGCATCGTGATCATGGTGCCACCTTGCAAGATGCCGTGGAAGGCAATCTGGTCATGAGCGGTGCCATCATAGTCCGCCACGACGACTTTTCCGTCATCATCCACGATGTTTCGAGGAGGCATCCCCTTATGCAGCAATGTCTGATAGTTCTTTGGCTTGCCAAGGATGCTGAAGACACCGTCCATCACTATCTTGAGTTAGTCATCTGAAGATTTGCGCGGACGTTCTTCTTGAGTGGGAAAGCAGATTTTTACTTACAATGGAGGAATGGGATTGTCAGCAAGTTTCCTCCGGATTCATCATCCAAGAAATACTGAATCCTCTGGTGAACTGGACCGGGCCCCAGAACCATTCCGCGTGCATTAATTGTAGTGTTCAAGGCGTTGCCGATCTTTCCACTGTCGATAATTTCCTTGATCTTCAAAAAACACGGATCAATTCGTTCTTGCAATCCGACTATGTTCTTCACTTGATGCACTTTCGCAAGTTCAGTGAGCTCCTTTGCCTGCTGGGTGTTTGCTGCCAAAGGCCACTCAACGAAGATATCCTTGCCTGCAAGAATACAAGGTTTGACGAGCTTGTAGTGTGAAGCAACATTGACGCTGATGACGGCAAGATCCACGTTCGGATCATCGGCGGCATCTTGAGGATTGTCGTACGCCTTGACATCGGAATCTAGCCCATGTTTTTCGATTGCAGTCCTGGCTGAACTAACACTGGAGTTGACGAGGGCAACAATACGATAGTGAGGATTGTTCTTGAGGGCAGGTAGATGGGTCCCGTTTGCCCACGCCTTTGGATCGGCGGACAGACCAAATAGCGCAATTCGGATTGGATCAGGCATAACTGTAATTTGGAATATCACGATTGAATTTCAATAGTCAATATGGGTTCATGTACTGCGCTATAACTCTAAATATACTCCGTACATAGAAGATTAAGATTATCCGATGACAGCACATGACACTCTGTGAGTAATCGGCAGTCATTTAAGCTTGACCCATGGTAACTTGACACTAGTGTTTCTTGGCACTTATAAACCCACTTTGCCAAGGTCCGGAATAGGTAGGTACTCTTAATAAACTTAACATGAGCAATACAACCACTTTGTATCCATATCATCAATATGCCATTGGAACTTGGATACTGTCCTTTAACAACACTTTTCTCATCCCAGTGCGAAGTCAGTGATCGATTTGAAACCGCCTGTGCCACAATTGGGTCTTACATATCTACTAATGATCGAAACATCTGGTTCTCAGAGGTTGTGCCGGGCGACACGAACCTGAGCTTCCCTGAAGAGTGTTGGCAACAGTCACAGGTTGTTTCTCGAGATATCTGTCGAATTGCCGTTAGTCTTTCGACGTCCGATATATCAGAAATCAGCCTTGAAGTGTGGCTGCCACGGGATTGGTCGGGAAGGTTTTTAAGCACGGCCAATGGAGATCTTTCTGGATGTATGCGTGGGCTACGTTATACAACCCACAACTTTATATGATATAATGCTGACTCGTGGGTACCAGGTATTCAGTACGACGATATGGACTACGCGAGTGGCATGTAAACCCGATGCATCTCAAGGAGAAAAGTTTAGCTAACCGATCAACAGCCCTTGGGTTCGCAACTGTTGGTACAAATGCAGTATGTTAATATCTTTTCTCTACTTATACTATCTTGCTAATGTTGTCAGGGTCATAACGGAACTACCGGGGAATCCTTCTTGAACAATCCAGATATTCTGACAGACTGGTCCTGGCGCGGGTCATTTCCCCTTAAATCCTTCTTCTATCGACTACCACTGACCAAAACAAATAGAATTCACACAGCGACCGTTGTTGGTAAAGAAATCAGCCAAACATTCTACTCCCGCCCACACGACTATTCCTACTTCTTAGGCTGCTCAACTGGCGGCCGCCAGGGTTTCAAATCCGCTCAGGCATTTCCCGATGACTTCGATGGAATATTAGCCGGCGACCCCGGTATAGACTTGAGCAGTCTCCTCGCCTGGATAGGAAACTTTTATCTAATCACTGGGCCCGCCAACTCTTCCACATTCGTACCGTTGCCGCTCTGGTCCACGATTTACGACGACATGCTACGTCAATGCGACAACATCGACGGCGTGCTGGATGGTATCATCGAAAACCCGGCACAATGCCATTACAGACCGGAAGCTCTTCTTTGCAATCCAGGGACGGGGAATAACGACTCACTCTGCTTGACTGGGGAACAGGCCAATACTGTCCGGCAGTTACTGTCCCCCTTGTACTTGGACGGGAAACTAATATACCCGGCTATGTATCCAAGTCCTAGCATCGATGGCACACCTGAACTGCTATACGGTGGTGAGGTTTTCTCACTGACAGTCGAATGGCTACGTTATGTTTTGCATAATGACCCGTCCTGGGATCCTGCTACGATGAACATTACGGACCTTCTTGCTATGATTAAGCTCAACGCTGCAAGCTCTGATTCCTTTGATTCTGATCTAAGCGCCTTCAGGGATGCTGGTGGGAAGTTACTTACATTTCACGGTTTACAGGACGGGCTCATTCCGTCCTCCAATTCAGAGCGGTATTATGATTACGTTGCCCGCACCATGAGCCTCAACACGTCAGCCCTTGACGAGTTCTACCGTTACTTTCAGGTTTCGGGGATGGGTCATTGTTGCTACGGCCCAGGTGCCTGGATGGTCGGGCAGAATTCAGCGGGAAATACGGGTCTTGATCACAAGCAAAATTTGCTGATGGCGCTGGTGAGGTGGGTAGAAGAGGGTGTAGGGCCTGACACAATACTAGGGACAAAGTTTGTCGACGATGACAAGTTACAAGGGGTAAGCTTTCGAAGAAAGCATTGTAGGTACCCCAAACGAAACGTGTTTAAGGGGAGCGGCGATGGGGCAGATCCAGAGCACTGGGAATGTATTTAGGTCATGAGCACAATCTTAATGGTTGTCGTTGTATCTAGAATCCCGTGCTTAGTACTAAAAAAGAATATAAACATACTCATGACTGCGACAAGGCGAGGATACCTACTTAGTGTACTGACTCTAAGAATTTATTCCTCGGGTTTCTCATTCTCAATCTACAACAAAGACGACAGAAAGTTCGTTATATGAAGAGCTAAGGAAAAGCAATACAGCAAAACATCCAACGGATCAAGACCTGGCTATTCAATCGTCACAACCTCCACAATCTCCACAATCCTGTTCATACGAGAAGCCACTGTCCCCTCCATCGCAGTCATAGCTACCATAGTCATCAGAAGACCGTTCAGAATAATAACACCCATAGTCCTCTGTATCTAAGAAACTCTGACTCACACGATCTTCATCATAAGCAGTAGCCTGAGTCTCAAATCCAGGCGAATTTGACCCTGCATCTTCATCTTGAGTTACCTCGGTGTCGAACGTAGGCGAAGACGATATAGGTTGGTCATCGTTGCTGTCTTGATTTATCTCAGTCCCATCGCCAGACTGAGATATCCCACCCTCTCGGTCTTGGTTTTGGTTTTGCTCTTGGTCTTGGTCTTCTCCATGACTATCAGAATCAGAATCACTAGACCCAGTCTCAACAGTAGTCGAAGACAGCAGATGCTTATCAAAAACGGCCGAACCCTCAGTTCCCCAGTTCGGTCCACAGCCAGATCCCAAATTAGCTCCCCATGCGGAACCATATCCCATCCCTGTTCCATATCCATAGCCAGAATTACCTCCATATCCCACCCCAGATCCCGTTGAGCCTATCATAGATATAGATCTTGACCCCGATCCAGATCCAGATCCGGAGATTTTGTACTTGATTGCATTCTCCAGTTGCTTGAGTGGTTTCCCGATACTAGCTCGCCAATTGCGTGAGCTCCCCGTGCTCGGTTCGTAGAGGTTGAGATCGAAGGTTCGGTTGTGTTGGGTACATTGGAAGGTTTTGCATCTGTTGACACGGTTAATAAGGATAAGTATACGGATACGGATACGGATACGGATACGGATATGGATATGGATATGGATATGGATATGGATATGGATATGGATATGGCAAGGAAAGGACGGGGACGATAAATGCGTCTAAGGGTTAGATCCATGCAACAACTCACTCATTCATCTTCACGAAATTCGCATCCACAATCCCATCTTCAGGGACCTCTTCGAAACTCCCGTGTGTGTCACTTGCAACGAAGTACCGAATAGACTCTATCGGCCCGCTGTTGACTTGGCGCACGAGCTGGATGCAGACGCTCGCTTCGGAGGGATCTGTGGATCCTGTTAGATTACCGATGGTGGTGAGACCCCATTTTGTGAATTCGGTGAATGTCTGCTCGTGGTCGGGATTTGGGGGCTTGGTGGGTTGGATTGTGGTGCAGCAGAATGGATGGGTTGCCATTGTGGATTATTGTATGGGAAGATTTCTTGTAGAGTCACTAGTATGGCGCTAGTATGGGGGATTTATTTCGTTACGAGGAAGTATGTTTGTATAGGTGAGGTCGTCAGGATGTGATAATTAGACTCCTACTCGATTAGGAAACGGAGCTGTTATTCCCAGGTACATGGTGTACCAGGGCTCACTTTGCGGCTATTATCGGGGAAGGAGATGTCATGCTATACTGTAGTTAATGTTTAATTCGTGATAATTGTTAACAGAGGATATATGATATCCATGTTAGATAATCGAAGACACATCTATGTTGTGTACGTCACATACACGGGAAGAAATGTAAGTGAAAGGGGCAGTCATTCAATTAATTAGTGTTGCCAATGGCTGTGATGTGAATGAGACAAAAGTAAAAAAGACTAATATACAAGCGTTTGATAACCTCCATGAAAGCGCTATATCCTACCGCAAATGCCCATATTATTCCCAATCCTTGATCTCCTTCAAAATATCAGCAGAACTAGAAAGAGTTAGCTGATGAGCACATTTGAGCTAATTCTTAGTACACTCACCCAGATTCTGGGAGGGGATATTTCTTGTCGCCATCGATAACATAACCGCTGTGGGTATTTTGGTTGGGCCACGGGCCGTTGGTGGACTCCTCGTGGACGGTGATGTGATGGTCATGGGATTTGTCAGGACTGTCAAAATAGATATTTGTCTCACCCGTGTGAGGAACTGGCCAGTAACTCGCGACGTTGGCGGGGTTGTCATTAGGACTGGGTGCCGCCGGCGGGGACTCGGGCTGTGGAGCCTGGGGTTGTGGCTTTGGCGCCGCTGCTTGCGACGATTGCTGAGCTGGATGCGCAGCAGCGGCAGTCTTGGTGCTCTTGGTCGCAGTATACAGAGCTCCGTGACTGCCGGCGGTAGCCTTGGTGTCGAGTCCGCTCAAGTCAAGACCGTTCTTGCCAGCGGCATTGCCGCTGACGGGTTGCGGGTACGCGGCGCAGGCTGCGTAGTGGCTCTTTGGGGGAGCGTGCACCGTATTGGCGAAGGTCTCGGGAGCCTCGATAATGGTGGCCATCAGACCAGCCTCAACGTGCCACTCGATGTGGCAGTGAAGCATCCAGACACCGGGGTTATCGGCGCGGAAGCGGATGACAGTGTGGCCGTGGTTCTGAACCATGATGGTATCACGTCTGATCGGGGTCTTGGAGACGTTGCTCGAGAGGCCGGTGTAGTAGCCGCCATCGACTGGGGTGCGCTGCAGAACCTGGAACTGGTGACCGTGCAAGTGCCATGGGTGCAGGTTATTATGGTGGTTGTTGATCACGATTTCGACGACCTCGTTGTGCTTCACGACGAAGGGGTTTACTTGGCCATATACGGCGGGGTTGGAGGCAAACTCGGGACCGACTGTATTGGCAGTGTAGAGAGACGGCACCTTCGGGCCGATGTAGGTCTTGTTGTTAACAGTGAAGCGAGGAACACCGTCGACCAATGCGCCACCGGTCTCCAGGATGATCTGGTGGTCCACCGGCTCGAGCAAGGGCTGGTGATCTGCTGGTACCAAAGTGACATCATCCACAAAGTCATCCTGGAAGTCTATGTGATGGAAGACGGGAGGAGGAGGCAGGGGCTTGGCATCGTCGTACACCAACCACGCGGTGGCATTGGGGTTGTAGTTTTCCGGAATGGTGCGATTTTCGAAGATGAACATCATGTTAACATCCATAGTATCCCAGATAGCAAAGTTCTGGCTTGCATCAGCCTTGGTCTTGATCAAGACACTCATACGCTGGCCAGTTGCAACACGCAAGAACTTGTCTCCAGCAGGGTAGGGATCGGTATAGACGCCGTCAACCTCCACGACAGTCATCTCGTGGCCATCGATGACCCAGAAATGACCGGGCCAGTTTCCAACGCAGATAATGTGAACAAGATACGTCTTGTTAGGCAGAACCTTGATCTTGGTATTGGTCGAGTCGTTGATCAATGCCGAGTCAGGGAGGGGCTCTTGGCCTCTGGCCACCTCGGGCGAGCTCAGCAAATCCGGCATCTCCCGGTGGTACCAGTCACTCAGGGTGAGTGTGAACTCATCATCATAGTGGAAGGGAGGCTTAGGGTCGTGGACAATCAGAGCACCACGGAATCCATCCGGGTACTGGCCGGCGTTGTGTGAGTGATACCAGTATGTTCCAGCTTGGTCGACCTATACTGCAATTAGAACATGTTCATCTCTCCCGCGGGGATTACCTACATCGAAGTGATATTGCATGTGCGAGCCAGGGGGAAGTGGGCACTGGGTGACTCCAACCGCGCCATCCATAACACCACTGCCAACCTGGTGCATGCCGTGCCAGTGGATAGCCGTGGACTCGTTTCCAAGACCATTGTAGACATCTACGATCAGTTGGTCGCCCACGTTCACGTCAATCTGCGGGCAGGGCCATTGGCCATTGATACCAATGACCGGGCGCTCAAACCCATCTGGGGAAGCATTAACCCAAGTGATGTTCCAGTTCAGGTAGACATCCTTGGCTGCAGCTAGGCCCACCCAGGTGGCTAGCGCAAACAAACTAAATTTAGCCATCGTGGCTGTATTGAAATAGCGAGTGACAATTGGCGGCTCAAATCAGAAGGATAAGCAAATCCCCCAAACGAGTGAGTGTATTCGAGGCCGGATCAATTAGAAAGGAAAAACGAATGTAAAAAGAACGCGCTTGTCGAATCGGCGCAGGTCGGCCGCTGTGCTGGATGTCGAAAGGAAGAAATCTGGAAACAGGGCCTCTTTAACCATAGTGATACGAACGAAAACAGAGATGCTGTCGATCCGCAGGGGCCTGGGTATGCTGGTTGGGCCGGATCCCATCTCCATGCTCGCGAGGGTGTCATTGGGCGTGCCTTCATTCACGAATTCAAGGACTGGGATAACAAAACACATAGTAGAGCAGTATCCAGCTTAGCCATTGTGTTGCGGTTTTTCCCATCCCTGTTAAGGAATTCCGTAAGTGGGCTGGGAAGGGTGGAATGTAGATAATTCACCTATCTGGGAGGTAGTTCCTGAACTGCCACGCAAGGGGGGCATACCCGAGTCATACTCGAGTTGACGGACTCAGCTTAGAGTAAACAGAGATAATGAAGTTCAGTTCTATTTCTTCTATGGAATAGAACTGCTATATAAAATTAACATCTGTGTCCTAATAAATTTTGGAGTATCATGATCGACGATATAAGCTTCCCTAAACAGTTATAAACTCGTTACAGGGTTTTATGTTCGACATATAATATGACGTACACGCTTTAGCTCGATTTAAGTTAGCGGAAATCAGGTGCTCGTTAAGTAGGCGATTATAACCGTAGCGTCTATATAAGGGGCTCAACCGCCCTAAGTCGAACAGTATTTCCTATATAGTAATATAGTGACATACAATATACAAAGTATCAGTAAATATGAATAAAGTCAACAGGATCAACAAGGTCATATAAACTAACCCTATTTTCCCTTATATAAAATTTATATGAAAATGTTCTGACCTTTAACGCACGATAAGGCTTAGACACGGAGATTCCCAATCGGGCCGGGTGACGTTGCACTGAAATCTCTTTCGCCTCTCGAGGGCTGCTACAGCGGCAAAAGAAAAAAAAAGAAAAGAAAGAATCTCCGTATAGCTTCACAAGAGGCCAATGCATCATGCCACGGGGCGTTATCTGGAAAATAAACAAACCAATTATCCCCGGAAAAAGCGGGAGATTTGCAATCACCTGGAGATGTTTCCCTTGAATTAGACAAATCAGATACCCTGTTTATGTTGTAGGCTTTCCCGTGTATATATATGATCTCATGGGATCTGCATGATCTCAAGCCATACGTCGTATATGATAGGAGAGCAATCTCGGAAAGCGTCGGCGTGAAAAGAAAGCTAAGGCCCCCCCACAAAAAAAAGCCCAGGAACAAGGTGCACGTCCGTGCGTAATTAAAACACTAAGTGTCTGATAAGCTGTGGAGTAGAGAATTAGTCGATTTAGTCAATTCGGTTGATAGTGGGAGAGGAGAGATTTAGAGGGGGAAAAGTGAAGTCGGGAAAAGAGAGGGGTCACCCGCTTCTGAGTCTTCTCTTTGTCACTTCAACTTTTTTTTTTCTCTCTTCTACTTCAGGGCAAGAAATACAAGGCATCCAAGAAATCCAAGACATCCAAGAATATTCTCGCAAATCTTTACTACCACTGACGACATGTGCTGATGGCGCTTCCGTGCTCCAAATAGCATCATCGAGCCTCAATGGCGTAATAGTGTGGACCTTTATTCGATCATCAAAAACATCAAAAGGCACATCTGCACATCTTTTCTCGGGCTCCAAGCCTATATAACTCATGATATGGATCAATCAATGACTCTTATCGATGCACAAGTGCACTTCCTAGTGAGTCATCCATGTCACCTACCTACAACACCTACTCACCCAATCCTAGGAGGAATGTGTTGTACTGGTACACATCCCATTGGAGCTGTACCCCTACTTCTTAAAGTCTGTTCTAAGACTCATTTTTGATGAAATTCCACCACTGGAAGACGAAAAAGACGAGACAGATGATGCTATATCGGATGAATTCGAAAACGCTTCGGAGTATGACTCGGCGTACAAACCACCTGCATTCATGAATGTCTCCATCACTCCAGTTGAAGTCTCTGTCATGTGTCCTAGACGTTTGGTCGACAAATATTTTATCCCGGTCATGGACCAACTCGACCGGTTGGATGACTCACTCCGATCCCGTCTAATCGTCAGTGAGAATGACTATATCGCCATGCAAGTCCTCGGCGAAGGCCTCGAGGCCGGCAAACGAGTCTTGGAATTGACCAGTCCACTTGCTCTGGCAGGCATGTAAGTGAAATCCAATACATACATTACTTACCTCTATATACAAAAACATTACCCATACTAACCTCCCCAAAGCTCCATTTTCTTCATCTCAACCTACTTCTCCGACTACATCGTAGTCCCCAAACAAAGCAAAGCAAGCGTGATATCCGCCCTAGAGAAAAGAGGCTTCCAATTCAACAACACCTCAGCGGCCTTCATCACCAATCCACTCAGTCCAACCATCGAAAGAAGGCTCAGCGACCTCATCCCACCAGGAACACCCCCACCCTCAACTCTAGGCGAACTCCAAACCCGCACCTTCAACAACCTCCGCAAACACCAAATCACCCCATCCGTAGACCACTCCCTCCGTCTAGTCCAATGCGCCGCCCACCACGAATACCACAGCCAGGAATCTTCAATGTCCATCCTCCGCGACGCCCTAACAACAGTCCTCCTAGTCGACGAACCCCGCTTCCTATCCCTAACCCTCGCAGCCCTGGACCCAGCCGCCTCCCTCCTGCTAGAGAAACGTCTCCTCCCCCGCTTCGCCCGCCAATCAACTTCCGCGGCAGGGACACGCGTCTACGAGGATGGCTCGGGTCTTCTCCTCGGCTCAAAAGAAGATCATCTCGTTCCCATCACCCTAGATCTTCGCGACCTGCCCCTCGAAGCATCCGGTATCGTCTGCGGTGTCGCGGGTCGTCTCGCGGCCGCAGCTACCATCCCGCTCTCGTCGCATGGCGCTGTCGCTGGTGGTACTAGTAGCGTTGTCGGATCCGTGTCTGGACTGTTTGATTCGTTTGGGACTCGTTTTTCCGCCCTCTCTCTTAATAAAACATCTACCTCGGCCCCCGCTCATGGATTGCAACCCTTGGCCCACTCGACGCATCATCTCCAGCCTGATGTGGATGTCGCGGATGCGGTGGAGATTAGTTTCTTGAGTACGGCGCGTGCTGGCACCATTATTGTTGGTGAGGATGAGCTTAAGAGGGCTATTGATGCTCTTGAGGAGGAGAAAATACAGTCGCCTAAGCTGGAGGGTATTGGGTTCGAGTCCCGGACACCGCCTGATAGTCCGCAACAGCGGGGTTGAGTTTGTTGGTTTTGTGTGATTTATATTGACGGGCGTGTTGATATGACTTATGTGTTGATGTGGCGTTTGGGTACTCAAAAGTTCGTTTGTTTTAACATTTGTATAAATTATATTACTTTGAGGGCGATCAGTTACTTGTGTTTTTTTTTTTAATATGATATATATTACCTATGTTAATTTGAAACTTTTGGTATTGATATAAATTGTTATTCATGAAATGCTATAAGTTCGTCAATATATATCTCTAGAGTAGCACCACCATCCCATCTTCAATCCAACAACCAATTTACGAGAAAAATACAAAAGGAAGACCAGAAATAGCAGAAAACAAGGTAATTATCTAATTAATTTCGTATCTCATTATTGATATAACAGTGCCGGGCATATATACGGACCCAATGTTCCTGGCTCTAGAGTGAAAACTTGGACCGACGAAGTAGAAATCTGCTGGTCTGCAAGGCGTACATATCCTCGCCCCCAGCCTGGCTCAAAATGGCCGCATTTTCCGGATTGCAAGTGAGAGGTGCCCATCGTGAAGTTAATTGAAGTCTCACGTGGAATGGAAATTGCCAGAGGGTAGTAAGACTGCCATAGATCTTGCTTGTCCATACCGGATTCCGTCCTTGTTTCAGGAGCCGTGTCGTAATGTGGCGTGTGGAAGTTTGACCTTGAAAGAACCGCGATATTGGACATCAACACGAGGGGAGGACGTCATCCCGCCATGATAGCCCTGTCGAAGACCTTGGCTAAGACACCTAGAACAAATGACCAGTTCACCCGTAGACTCTGACAGTACCTTGAAAACAACAGTTAGCACAAGAATCCCAAAACCTCAACCTCCACAGGACTTACCATCAGAACACCCAGCAGCCCAATCCCCAACACCCTCATTCCACGCCACACAACTGACAGCCTTAACCTTCTCCCCAACAGGCACAGCAGCAATAACCTCCCCCTTAACAACATCCCAAGCAAACGCCGCCGCCCCAGCCGTCCCTTCCTCACTCCCACTTAGCACAACCGCATCCCCCATCGCAAAAACAGAGCGCACCCGCAGCTCCGCATTCCGATACGAATGCCGCGGTTTCCCTATCCCGCCCGCAACAGTCTTCTCCCCCCCAAATGCATTAAGAAGCTTCCCATCCATCCGATCCAGCAAGCGGATATATCCGTCCAGCGTCGAAGCCAGGAGTGCGTTCCCGTCGCTCGAGCAGCGCACGCTTGTTACCGGGTGCGCGAGGACGTCGACGGTCGTCTTTCCTGTGCGAACATCGTAGATCCGGGCGTGGCCGTCGTAGCTGCCGCTTGCTATTGAGTAGGATCCCATGTGCACGTGTAGTGTTGAGACTGTGTCGGTTGCCTCGGTGAGGGTTTGGATGGGTTTGTAGCTTGAGGAACGGGTGTCCCAGAGGTTGATTGTTGTGTCTGCACTACCTGGGAAGAGGGGGAGATATGTTAGTTCTGATTGCATTGCTAGGTGGGAGTTCGGGTTCGGGGTTACCGGTTACTACGACAGAGTCGCCATCGCCGGCAAATTGCACGGCTTCGACTCGGCTATTGTGGCCTGACCATCGTTTGGTCGTGATGCCTTGCTCGACATCCCATAGGAAGACTTGGCGATCGCCTCCTACGCTGGCGAAGCGCGCGTTGTCCGCTGTGACGGCGATGTCGAGGACGGAGTAGCCATGCGCTTCGTATTTCTGGATAGGGTTTATGGTCTCTACCACGGTCGGGGTATTGGTGTTGTTTGGAACTGCGCGCGAAAGGTGGACTGCTCGATCTGACGAACCTGTGAGGACGTAGGTGCCGCCGGAGCTTGAGAAGGTTACCGCGTTGACGGGGCCTGGGAGGTGTTAGCGCTTGGGTATTGGTGGGGTTTATGGCGCATAATAATGAGAGCTTACCATTGTGTGTTTTAAGGGTGTGGATATGCCTGGTTGGGAATATTGTCCGGGGCATGGCCGTCGAGTTGGTGAGAGAAGGAATTGGCGGAGTTTAGAGAATGCGGGATGGAGCTCGGAGCTTCAACCTTCAAGTCTACTTGAAGAACTCCTCAAAGTGAACACAAACAGAAATTACAACTTTACTTTGAATCTAAGAGTTCAGAAGAATTATTTCTGTATTTCATACGGAATACAGAAGAAGTTATTATCAAGGTTGTAGACACACCATCGCTAGCTACCAGCGGTAAATGGATATAACAAACAAAACGAACCAAGCCCTCAGACAAAGGTGCTTCCAAGCGCGAATGGCAAGACATAGGGTACTCAAAAGAGAAGAAAAAACAAGAGCATGGTTCCACTACTCCCCTTTTGAACGATCCGGGTTGATTCCCGGTAAAATTGCAACATCTTAACGACGTCCGTGGCTGCGGGTGCCGGGACCCTGCAGACCCTCGATCTCCTGCTCGAGGGACTTGATGCTGTGATAGGTTAGCAATAAATTCTCGCAAACAATATTCTAGAACATACGCTGCGTGAGTGGCCTCGAGATCCTTGTTGAGACGGTCGCGCTCTGAGATGAGCTTCTGCTCCCACTGGCGGAAACGCTGTTCCTCGACCTTGACCTGCTCGGTGAAGCGCTTGCGCAGAGTCTCCTCTTCCTCCTTGAACTTGGGGTTGTCGAGTTTGCGTGGCCGGGCCTCGCCAAACTTGCGGGTCTCCATCTGCTGGGCACGGTATGCCTCGTAGTGCGATTCTTCCGTGGTGTGAATAAGGTCGAGCATGTGGGTGCGGATCAGGATCGAGCGGAGCTTCTTGAAGTCGCAGTGATCCTCGTTCTCCACCTCGGCAACACCCCAAGCGTACTGACGACCCTTGACAACACGACCATCGTTGGACTGGACGTCCTTCTCGGAACCGATGACGGCGAAAGGCATGGCAGCCATGAGGCTGCGGGCGTGGGAAGCAGCGTGCTCGTCGTCCTCCTCGATGGGTGGGGAGTAAATCTTGATGCCCTGGGCCTCAATCACAGCGCGGATCTAATCAACTGTTAGTCCGGATTCTAGACTCTCCTCGTGTAGTCGTTCCACTCACTCTATCCTTGTAGCGCACCAGGTCCGCGTGGCTCAGGGTATCGGCCTTGGCAACCACAGGGATCAGGTTAACACGGGAGCTCAGGCGCTTCATCACCTCGATATCGAGAGGCTTGAGGGTGTGTCCGGTGGGGCGGATGAAGTACAAACAGGCGTGAACACGCATGTCGATCTTGTCGGTTCGGCGGGGCTGCTGCTCCTGGAGCATGTATGACTCGTGCTGGTCATCCAGGAACTCGATAATGGGTTGCCATGAATCACGGTTGTTCACGTAGTCTCCGAAGCCAGGGGTATCAATGACGGTGAGGCGGACTAGAAAATCGCCGACTTGTCAGCTATCGAAACGCGGGAGTCGAAACCCCTCCCCCGACATGAGAGTATCTGGGTCGCACCTTTGAAGAACTTCTCCTCGAGCTCAGCCTTGGTAATCTCAATCTCGACGGTTCGGTCGACCTGCTTCTGGTGGCGGCGCTTGTGATCGGCGTAGTTCTTAATGGTGGTGGAGAAGAGAGTGTTGATGAAGGTTGTCTTTCCCAATCCTGACTCTCCGGCAACCTGATCGAAGCCCCGTTAGCATCAGCACGCGCGGAGCATTTTCCTCCTGCGGAACACACCATAATAGTAAAGGCTGCACCCCGCTTCGCGACAATCTTGTGACTATACAAGCTTAATTAGAATCTTTCCCCGTATCCACCGTAATCATTCAAAGGTACACACCGCTGGTTGGGGAGCTATATCAAAAACCGCGAGTTAGCTTCAAGTTATCAAAAGGGAGATGCTGGCGTTCCAAATAGCTTACGTTGGCAATGCCAATCGGCGTGGCGGTCTCTGAGGTCGACATGGTGGGATATAGGGGGGATTAAAAACAATTGGGAATCAACACAAAACAAGAAGATAAAGAAGAAGCTCTGGTGTAGAATAAGACCAGAATTGAGAAGAGAGAATAAGCCGACTCCTGAGGAGAAAAATTGAGAAAAGGAGGAACGAATGTGAAATCGGATGTCTCTCGAACTGCCCGTCGCTGCTTCCCCCTGAATCTCCTTTCGTTTTCTGGAGTATACCTCGCCTTGCCTATCTGGGTTTAGCGTGAGGGGCTAGTACTGATTGGGACCGGAATCGGGGCATGGATGATCCGAAGGCTCTTATCACGGTAGCTGGTGGAATTATCTCTAATTTTTTGATCTTTGAGATCGCCGACAGCCAAAATGAAGACAGACTTCAAGGTATGTACTACATTTGGATTCTTGATCGCATGCAATTGCCAGAAAGCCTTGATTATTAAGAATCCTACTAACATCCTCAATTTTAGTTCTCGAACCTTTTGGGGACGGTATATCGCAAAGGAAATCTTCTCTTTACTCCCGATGGCACATGCTTGCTTTCGCCAGTAGGCAATCGAGTTTCGGTCTTTGATCTGGTGCAGTATGTGTCGCCCAAATGTACCTCGCTTGGTGATTTGAAAAAAAAACAGCCCGCTTACGATTGCTTTTATAGAAATACTTCCTATACACTGCCTTTTTCGCACCGTACAAACATCGACCGTCTCGATCTTTCACCCAAGGGAAATCTTTTGTTGACCGTGGATGAAAATGGTCGCGCAATTTTGACCAACTTCCAACGGCGCATTGCCATTCATCACTTCTCCTTCAAAGGACGAGTATCCGCACTCAAGTTCTCCCCGTCCGGCCGTCATTTCGCCGTTGGCGTGGGAAGACGCCTGCAGATCTGGCAGACGCCCTCTACCCCCGGCACTGAAACCAATGGCGAGATTGAATTCGCCCCATTTGTTCTCCACCGGGATCTTGCTGCCCACTTTGACAACATCGAAAGTGTCGAATGGTCTAGCGATTCGCGCTTCTTGCTCACTGCCGCCAAGGATTTGACCGCGCGAGTATGGAGCATGGATCCGGAAGAAGGTTTCGAGCCGACCACATTGGCAGGACACAGACAGGGCGTGGTGGCTGCCTACTTCAATGCGACACAAGAAGTGGTAGGTGCTTCCTGAAAATTGGCTCAGCAAATACCATACTAATGTTTATCCATAGATTTACACTGTCAGCCAGGATGGCGCACTCTTCCGCTGGGAGTATGTTACGAAAAAAGACGAGGAAACGATGGAAGATATTTCCGATGCCCGATGGAGGATTGTCAAGAAGGATTTCTTCATGCAGAATGACGCCAAGGTCAACTGCGCTGCGTTCCATGCGCCGACAAACCTTCTGGTGGTAGGGTTCTCCAACGGTCTATTCGGACTCTACGACCTACCAGAGTTCAATATGATTCATCAATTGAGGTACGCTAGTTTGTGACACCCTCCATTCCACAGTGGCTAACCTATCCCCCCTCTAGTGTCTCCCAGAGCAATATTGATGTTGTGACAATCAACAAATCAGGCGAGTGGCTAGCATTCGGATCGTCTAAGCACGGTCAGTTGCTGGTGTGGGAATGGCAGTCCGAGTCATATATCCTTAAACAACAAGGGCACCTTGATTCTATGAACGCCCTCGCATATTCACCGGACGGTCAGAGAATTGTCACGGCTGCCGATGACGGTAAGATCAAGGTTTGGGATGTCAAATCAGGCTTCTGTATTGTCACTTTTACGGAACACACCAGTGGAGTGACCGCATGTCAGTTTGCGAAGAAGGGAAGTGTGTTGTTCACAGCATCTTTGGACGGTTCTATCCGTGCATGGGATCTGATTCGCTACCGTAACTTCCGAACCTTCACAGCGCCATCCCGCCTGTCATTCTCTTCGTTGGCCGTGGACCCCAGTGGAGAAGTGATCTGTGCCGGTTCACCGGACTCCTTCGACATTCACGTATGGTCCGTGCAAACCGGTCAATTGCTTGACCAGCTCTCCGGCCACGAGGGTCCGGTTTCCAGTCTTGCTTTCGCTGCCGATGGCAACCACCTTGTCAGTGGAAGTTGGGATCACACAGTTCGCATTTGGAGCATCTTCGGCCGCTCACAGACCAGTGAACCTCTCCAGCTCATGTCCGACATTCTCAGTGTGGCTTTCCGCCCAGATGGGCAACAAGTCGCCGCATCTACACTAGACGGTCAGCTTTCCTTCTGGTCTGTTGAAGATGCTGTGCAGCAAGGAGGAGTTGACGGTCGCCGTGATGTCTCTGGAGGACGCCGAGTGGGCGACCGCCGTACTGCTGCCAATGCCGCAGGCACCAAGTCTTTCAACCGAATCACATACAGCGCAGATGGTAGCTGCATTCTGGCCGGTGGTAACAGCAAGTATATCTGTCTTTATGATGTCGGAACCGGGTCATTGATCAAGAAGTTCACCGTCTCAGTCAACACCTCGATTGATGGTACCCAGGAGTTCCTGAGCAGTCGTGACATGACCGAAGCTGGTCCCCGTGCTCTTATTGACGAAACCGGTGAAGCGTCTGATCACGACGATCGTGTTGATAGCACTCTTCCCGGCGCGAGACGCGGCGATGCCGGCGCGCGCACCACACGCCCAGAGGTCCGCGTGACATCCGTGGATTTCGCACCGACTGGACGAGCATTCTGTGCCGCCTCTACCGAAGGTCTCCTTGTTTACAGCTTGGATACTGACTTCATCTTCGATCCATATGATCTGGACATCACAATCACACCCTCAAGCATCATTGCCACACTAGATGCTGCCAAGGCTGCCGCCACATCCGACACTGTGGATGAGGAGAACACCTTCCTCAAAGCTCTTATCATGGCTTTCCGATTGAACGAACAAAAGCTACTTCGTGTCGTATATGAAGCGATCCCTCCGTCAGATATTCCCCATGTGGTTCGGTTCGTGCCCTCCGTCTATTTACCTCGTCTTCTCCGATTCGTTGCACATGCCGCCGAAGAAACTCCCCATCTTGAGTTCAACCTCATGTGGATTGAGTCTTTGTTCAGCAGCCATGGTCGCTACTTCAAGGATAACACAGGTACATTCGCAACCGAGCTTCGTGCCGTCCAGCGTGCTGTCGATGACATCCGTGAAAATCTCAAGCGGTTGACAGAAAAGAACCTTTACGATCTCAACTACCTGCTTTCGAAGCCTGTTCTTGGAAACAAGAAAACCAGCAGTGCTTTGTTGGCCATGGAAACCGAAGATGCCGAGGTTCCTGATGATCAGATGGTCGATGCTGACGAGGGAGAGGGTGACTGGGTTGGCTTTGAATGATTTCTATGGGGTTTTCTTCGTGTATGTCTACTTGCATCTGAGCCAGGCGTTTTGTATATTGCAAAGACCAAAAAGGGAAATAGACAAGAGGTCTTTGCGGCCTGTGAATAATATACTCCCAAGTTCCTCTGAGACCTCAAACGGACCCTTTGTCCATTCGCCTTTAGCAAACGCCCTTTTTAAAATAAAAAGTCTTACTCTCCCCTTAATACTATCCGAATGTCTCCTGTGCTACCCTCTCTTTACTTTCTGGCTCTTCTTACCACCGAGCAACTTCCTTAATCTCCCCGGTTTCAATATTCCGGACAATCCAAGGCTCCGGAGAATCATTTATCTAAGTACCTTTCCCCTTCTGTCGTGAAAGCTTTCACATCAGTAAGCCTCAAGATGGCCCTACCCTTCTGGCCTCTCGTTGGGGTGTTGGTTGTAGTGCTCTATCTACTCCAACGACCACCGGCTTCCAGTCTGAGGCATATCCCAACTGTCAAGCACAAGGCATATCTACCAGATTTCATCAATCGACTGATCTACTACCCCAAAGCTGCCTCAATGATCAGTGAAGGATATGAAAAGGTGCGCAGTATACTTGAAACCAGTCATTCACTCTATTGACATCTCTCTGCGGTATATAGTACAAGGATAGTCCCTTCCGCCTGCTCACCGGCGATGGAGAAGTCATCATCCTGCCAGTGAAATATCAGGAAGAACTGAGACATCTTCCTCCTTCAAAACTCAGTTCTCTACATGCCCAATATGAAGTAATCCACATGAGCTTATCTGTACTATGTTACGTTGAGAGGTTGGAGCTGATATACTACTTCACAGAATGCGTTGGGCCAGTATACCAACATCATCATCGACACTCTTGTACCGTCTATGACCGTGCGGAAAAAGTTGACACCCAGTCTAAGTGCTAATACCCTTTAGTTTCCCCATTTTCGACCCCACAAAAGACCGGAGAAATTAATATATATCTATCAAATAGGCCGAGTTGTACCGGGAATCATCGACGAGCTACGAGCAGCATTCGACACTGCTCTCCCAGGATGCGAAGGTATGATATGCGAACACTACTTTGTGGGACCAGACATGCAGATGAACAATCGGATACTGACATAGGCGTACTGAACACAGACACCTGGATTCGAATCAACCCATGCGAGATGTTCACCCGGCTAATTGCCCTCTCGACATCCCGCATGATGGCCGGCGATGTCCTCCGCGAGAACCAAGAATGGCTCAACGTCGCAAGCAACTACGCTGTGAACGTGGGAATCACCATTCTCCTCCTCCGTCCAGTGCCCAAATACCTCCGTCCCATCGTAGCACCCTTCCTCCCCAGCGTCCGGATGATGAAGAAACAGCTGCGTTTCGCGAAAGACCTCTTTATTCCGATGATCCATGAGCGCAGGCTGGCGGAGCAGGCTAAAGATCCTAACTATACCAAGCCAGATGATTTCTTGCAGTGGATGATGGATTTGGGCGGCGAAAGAGATGAGGACCTCGAACCGGAGACTCTGGCGCATCACATGCTGCTCTTGGTGACACTGGCTGTTACGCACACAAGCACGATGGCCCTGTGTCACTGTCTCTTTGATTTGGTTACTAAACCCGAGTACATTGAGCCCCTGCGGGAAGAAATGAGCCGGACTCTGCCTGATGGTTGGTATAATGCGACTCAGGCGGCGCTTAAGGAGCAGTCCCGTCTTGACAGCTTCTTGCGCGAGTCTCAGCGCTTCGCTCCGCCTGGTGAATGTGAGTCTTGCGGATCTTTCCTTATGTCTCTGCTGTGTATTTAGTAGGAGTCAGCGTTGTGATTCGATATCGTGTTCTAACCGCCTACGTTGTCTAGTGAACTTCCACCGCATCGTCAAAGAACCCATTACACTCCACGATGGCCTCGTTCTTCCCGTAGAAACACACATCTGTTTCGCTGCCGGTCCGATTAGCAAAGACTCTGCCTACATTAAAGACCCAAAAACTTTCGATGGCTTTCGCTGGTGTCATAACCCTCGGGACCGCTTTGTCTTGACCCCTAAGCTAGCCAAACCCAACTCTATGCCGAATGGTGCTGACGAGGAGATGCAAGCTGAGAAGCACGCATCTTCCGCCTATTTCGTTTCTATCACAAATACTAACATGCATTTCGGGTTCGGGATCCAGGCTTGTCCCGGCCGGTTTTTCGCGGCGAATACTTTGAAGGCGATCTTGAGTCGCATCATCCTTGACTATGAGTTTAAGTTTGTTAAGGACCTGAAGGGGAAAAGACCCAGTAATCTTGTAGTTGGGGAGCATATTCTTCCGAACATGAGTACTGAGATGCTGTTTCGGAAAAGGCCTATTGGAGTTTGAGTAGAGGGGGAGATGATGTTGCTTGTTAGGGCTACCAGAGATCGATGCACCATGCCATACTTTATCAATCAATCAATTAAAGTTCAATTAATCTGTTGCAGTCTAACTAGTTGCGTATGACTATATAGGCGCTTCTTCCAACCGAAGCAAGAACTCGAGGCCAAACGCCGAGTATCAAAGAGTATACAGATGTCGGCCGTAAAGAGTGTGGAATCAACCCATTCCTGTAACCCGTAAAACCCAGTGGAGTGCACCTTCCACCTTCCAACTCCCAATTCCCAACCTTCACAACCTCTGTCCTCCCCTCTACCTCAGTTTCAATTGGCGGTGATGTTTTTCGTGCCATACTTTATCTACACGTTACGGTTCTTGCTTTATGTCCAAAAGATCCCAGACTGGGAAATACGAGGATCGAGTTGTGGTTTCAATTCCATCGTACATTCATCTTCAATAGATATAAGCACTGCCTCGACCTAACGTCTAGACTGGGTGCAGATATCTAAAGTGTCCATATACATACAGGGGTCAAATCCAATCGTTTCATCATATCTTCTCTCTCAAATACCACGTTCATCACTCACTGAGGGGCAGGCTGCGGCGCGGACTGGGGCGCACCTCGCCCACGACCTCCTCTACCACGGAATCCATTACCACGACCGCGACCACGGCCACGTCCTCGATCCAATCCTTGCGGCGGCGGAACGTGAGAGTAGTTCTGCGGACGGAAATTGGGATTGTTTTGGATAACACCTTCGCTGGGGTCGCCGTTATCCATTGGAACATACCCGCCTCGGGCACCTCCCCGACCACCACGGGGACCGCGGGGAATACCGCCACCGTTGGTGTGGGGACGGAAGGGGAGAGTGGTCTGCTGCCCGTTGTTGAGACCCAGGCCCCCGCGTCCTCCACGTCCAGCTCCATTGCCCTGTCCGGCGACAGCGCCTCGGAAAGAACCTCTCAGGGGCGGAGGGGCACTTGCGTTCCTCAGCTGTCCCTGCCCGTTAGGACCAATGGGGGCGCCGTACCCGGCAACTGTCAAAGGAGTCGGTGTCTGCTGGGTTTGCTGGCTAGCTGTAGCACGGGAACTGGTGATCAGTTGTCGGTTGGAGATGTTGAGGAGGGACGATGCCAAAACAGTTTGGCCACGGAATGGTGAGCATCGGCCACCTAGTGTGGTGCCACTCATGAACGAGACATCAAAGACAACATCAAGCAAAAGTGCTCGCGAGGTTCTGGTGAGACCGACAATAGTGCCACGAGTAGCGATCGGCACTTTACCGGAATCTTGGGCATACACAACCCGCTCGCCAAGCTTGAAGTTTTGGTTTCCGAGACGGTGCTCGACATCGGCAGGCCGAAGGAGGGCACTACGGGGTACACCCCGAACCTTCTTCGGTTGCATATCTGGCTGGGACGCATTGAGATTATCGGCATCCTGCTCAATCAACATCACAATATCCGAGTCGAGTTGCTCAGCATCGAGGGGCACTCTCTCGAAGTTCTTGGCTTCTATGGATTTGAGCCAATCCTTGATCTCCTTCATCTTGAGGGCGGCAGTCTCCTCAGGATAGAAATCAGTCGGAGAATAGCGGTCGCTTTGAGGGTTGCGCTGGATACCAGCAATGAATTCGGGGAATTTGATCATGTACTGTTGTAAAAGTTCCACTGCCTTTTGGCTAAATTCCCAGCCGGATTCTCCCCGACGGGAGTACCCAAGAACCTTCTGTTGCTTTGCCTGGAACTTCAGGTTAAGACCAAGGTTCGCACGTTGGCCTTCGATGTCAACAGTAAAGGAAGATGTGATCTTAGCCAGTACCAAAGGATTGAGGCGAAGACTGCGGGCAACGGCGTACGAAGGCATGTAAGGACAAAGGTGCTCAGATGCCCTAACACGCTCTCGACCGAATTCTGGCTCCCGACCTTTCACAGCCGCGACCAATCCATTCACCTTTCCGTCCTCGTGTCCGCCAACATACACAGGTCTTCCATAGTTGAAGTCACCCAAGAAGAAGGCACGAGAACCCTCTGGGAATTCTTCTTGGATAGAGAGAGCTTCCCGCTCAAGGAAACGTTGATCAGGATTAATCACATCATCAACGACAACCTGTAGAGCATAGTCCGTCTCTTGGCCGGGTATATCGGCAAATTCCTTGATTGTGGCTCCATCGTCTGTCTTGCTCATGCCCTTCAGAAGTTGAATGTGGACCAGAGATTCGACATCGCCAATGATAATTGCTAGACGCTTGCTGTAGGTGCCTTCGATCTTGTTGGCCTTCCTCTTCCACTGTTCAATTTGCTGGGGGGTATGGGGAATAGCCAAAGGGTGTTCTTCTCCTACAGGGAGAACATAATCAAATAATTCGTCCGAGACGCGAACCACAAGGGCTTCTTGCAAGAATGGATAGCCCACGTGGACACGCTTCCCAAGTTTCGTCTTAGCGAGTTCAACGCTCGACCGGCTTCCCGGGTCGAGGAGTGTAATAACCTGGCTCTCGTTGCGGCTGTCTTGGTTGAACACGCAAACGCCATGGAAACCCAATTGGCCATGGTGCGGAAGGGTCTTGATGCTAGGGAAGCCAGCAAGCGCTGCCTTGCCTAGGTGCACGCCGTCCATTAAGCCAGCGTAGGGCACCAAGCCATCCATGACGGGGAGGTCAAAGAGGTTCTCAATGCAACGGCAGCTAGGAAGATCCGGGAATACGCCAGGCATTGAGGAGGGGTAAACGAAGTTCACATCTGGGGAGTATGTGAATTTGAGACAGGCCCCAAAGTCGTTCCTTGCCTTCTCGTCTGCGGAAAGTTGGTTTTCTTTCGTTTTGAGGGCATCCAACAACCGCTTTTCGTCAATGAATGGGATCTTCACAACGGCTTCCCATTCCATCTTTTTTCCGTTCATATCGAGATCGAAATCACGAGGGTAGAAATCGTAGATGGGGGATTCGGGCGAGGTCATCAGATCCCAATACGCAGTAGGCACAATCTTCTTACTACGGTCGGGCAAGACACCCATAAGCTGGTCGAACGGCCGGAAGGGCTGTCCCAATTTGAAGTCCATGTCTGCACCAAGGCCATCATTCACATCTGTTCCACCGTCAGTAATCTCAGTAATCAAGGGGGGAAAATGGGTTTAGTAATACTGACCAGATATCATAGGGGCATAGTGGTACTGGAAGAACCAAGGCCACGATGCAATGCCACGGTAATAGTAGAACAAGACCCACTGCAATCCTTGCACATAGTTTTGCGCCAACTTCTTCATCTCTTCCTTGTTGTCGAGGCCCCAGCCGAACTTGGTCCGATAATAATTATCTTTCCACTCTCGGAACTTGGCGTCATATTTCTCCTGCGCGGCCTTCTGCGCTTCCTCGGCCGACATCTCCTCAACTTTAGCCTTCTCATACTTCCGAATGATACGCTGAACAGCCATAGATGCCTCCTCGTCCTCTTCATCGTCATCGCTATCACCCTGGGCCGGAGGCAGCGAGAGCCGCATGAACCGATCACCATTCTCATTGTCAATGGAGGACCAAGACAACCGAAGTTCATCCGCAAGCCGTTCCACGAAAGTGCGGTCACGAGCTGGAAGTGTAGGAGGGAGGTCAAGAGGTTCAGAGGCCTTGTCAGACCGGTTCAGAACGTACTTCTTGACCGTCTTGAGGATCTCCTTCTGGGAAGGAGTGAGCGTAAGCTCTTTTTTCTGTTGTGAGGTCGAATAATCAATGTTTGAGTTTTTCTTTGATTTGATCCATTGGGCATCGGAGTTCTCTGCCTCAAAGAATCGGTATTCCACAGCGCTGAGTGCGGTTACGAGCATGCCCAACCGTTGCACATTGATAACACCCTGCTCGTTGATGTAGCCGCCCATCTTTGGCAGCACTTCCTTGTAAAGCTTGAACATAAGGGCAAGGGCACCCTCGTTGATATGTAAGTTAGGCAGGTTGGGCAAGAAATCGTTGCCAACAAAAAAGGCCATGAGAATGAAATCATCAATGACACGCTCCATATCGAATGGGAAATCCAGAACACCTTCCTGTTCTAGCTCTTGGAATTCTAATTCCAAATACTCCCGAACCACGCTCAGATGCAAGAGATAAAAGTTTTGATGCTCCAGTTCTTTGGGCTTCTTGGATACTTGGCGACCAAAGGTCACTTCCTCTCGAAGAAGGCAGAAGTGAGGGTCGTGGCTGAGAAGACCCAGCATGATCAGATCGGCATCCAGACCGTAAAGACAGTGGCGAACGTTGGATTCGTAGTCGGGCTGCGCTTTCGAGCAGCGAATGTATTCCATAATCTTGTGCTCGCCTTCTCCTGGCACCTCATGGCCAGAGAGCACAATTTCCACACCTTGCCAATCTGTGTCTTCCGAGATTTTCTTGTTGATGAAGTATTTGAGTTGTTTCGTCAATTTCTGCATGAACTCGGTACCCGGGGTAATGCAGTTACTGTCAAAGGCGTCTTCCTTTGGCATTTCCAGGCCCTGCTGGATGGCCTTCTCCTTAGCGTTCTCTGCATCCAGGGCCGTTCGGAATCGACGAGCGCGTTGTTGATTCATCTTAGCGCGAGGTGCAACACCATCTACCGCCATATAGAACAGTTTCTTGGGCTTGATCTTGCCAAATAGATGTTCAATGTAATTGAAGATAGCAATGAACATTTGATCCTCCGTCATGCGAAACGTTGGGGAATCGCTGTCACTATGCGTACAGTTGTGAATAATGCCGTTCATGTCGAGATATAGGCTATCGAATTCGGGTATCCGGCTCTCTGCGATGAGCATCGAGATTGACGGATACCGTTCACTCAGCCAGCGGAAGAATTTCGGGACACCCATTGTGAAGACTGGGTTGGATCAAAAACAATATCGTCAAGAAAGGAATCGGCAGGTAATTTATCGTAAGAGTTGAGAGATCGTATGAGGGGTACTTGTAAAGGACTGAAGTAGAGTTGCGACGAAAGGTGAAATCATCCAATGAAGAAATCTTGGACAAGATACTGCGTCA